AGCTTCGGGGGCGTCGCGGCCGCGCCGAGATGGAAGCGGAGCGCGATACGATGGGGTACGGCTCGACTCCCCGCATGGGAACCCCGGCCTCCTCCTACAGACACGCGGACAAGCGCGCGCGCGTCAACGGCGCCGGAGACGCGAGCGTCACGCAGTCGCAGGAGCCGCCCTCGCAGAGCACGCCGATCAAGCAGGTTGCTGTGGCCGATATAGGCGGCGGGCTGACGGGCTCGAACGCGACGGCGGCGACAGAGGACCCGACGATGGCGTCGCAGCCGACGTCGTCATTCCAGCAGGGATATTACCGCGTGCAGACGTACGAGCCCGCCAAGAAGACATCGCCGACAAAGGTCCCAGGCGGAACTATGACGGCGCAGGAGCTCCTGCGGCAGATGAACGGTCCTATTGAGATCGATAGCAGCAGCAGTAGCTCTGAGAGTGAGTCATCAGATTCGGACTCGGACTCTGGCACGGAAGAGGTTGGGGACGGCCCGGGGCTCAAGGCTGAGCAGCGATGATTTGATTCCAAGCACGGCGTGCGATGATGCCAAGGGGTGGGTCATTCACATGACGGGAGCAGGGGCGTTTTTCTCAACCGAGCTGTTGGAGTCGGGATGCATCTGTTTTCTTGCCGGGCTGGCGGCGGCGTTTATGCATTCGACAAAGCATTGAGCATTGGGAGGATCAGTTATCAGGGGTTTCTTTTCGATTTTTTATCATCCATCATCCATCTTGCAGGTTTGCAGTTTTTACCCGGACGTCCCCAAGATAAGGAGGTCCCTGCGAGTTGTGCGGCGGTGGTCTGGACCCTTAGCATAGCGATATACTTTTTGCAGAGCAGGACAAAAAACAAGATTAGAAGAGGCCTTTTGTTTGCGCATGCGAGGGTGATGTGTGATCGTCAGTGATGCAGGGTCGGCATGTTTATTGGGGGTGGGTTGGAGTTGCATGAGCTCTGATCCCCCCTCCTTCGCCGGACGTCGGAGGTAGCCTTGGGTTTGACATGCCGAAATGACGGGAGTTGGCATGTGGTTCTCTCTTTTTATCTTCCGATGATTCAGAGCCGATTGTAAGTTGTCTGGAATCATGTTTCTGGAATCATCGCCGGCAAGCATTGGGAAATTGGAATTCAATCCTTGAGCCTAAATCTGAGCCTAAGAACGGAGAATTCTTTATGATTTGATCTGATGGACGGGGCAATGACAGATACAGCAGAGAGAGCGGGGATAAGGAGTAACACAGAGGCACGGGTAGAATAAGTCCAGTGGGAGTAAGATGGTTTGGATGTGTAAATGACAGTTAGCTTGCGTCGCGCACGATCGGACGGTGCTGAGCAGGGGTGGTTTCAGTGTCAGTTCAACCGCGCGGAGGGTGGTGGTGGCTTGTGCCGCGGCCAGCAAAGCCTGTGTGCTATTTGCATTTGTCTAGTCCGGTGGGTGGATGGGAGGGAGGGGGGAGATTTGATATGTGGCAGTGGTATTGGCATTGGCATTGGCACTGGCGGGTGACAGAGGTGCATTAACTAGAGTGGACGGACGTTGAGGTTGAGGTGGATTGTGACTGTGGTGATGGTTGTATGTCGGAGGGGATTGACAGCCGCAAGTTCCAGGCTTTGGAATGTATGGAACGGGGTGGGGGGGTTTGGCTGGCAGAATGTAGGACAATCAAGAACGGTGCCGCGGATCTGGGAGCTTGGGGAGATTTTGTGCAGAGGGCGAGGTGAGGTGATGTGATGCTTATGTGAACCCCGCGCCAGAGGGGACATCCCGGCTTTTGAGATGAGGGTGGTGAGATGGGTGGGTGTCCCGCGTGCGTGCTGGACGGGGGGTTTGAGTGGTTGGTGCCCCTGACGGGGAGCGAGCCGTGCGTTTGGGCACCTAATAATTCACCAACCCTGGCGGCAGCAAGGCAGAGCTTGGTCGTGTGGCTTGATCTGATGGAAAGGTAAAAACCGGGGAGGGGGTCTGATCGTGGGCACGATTGAACGGGACTGGATGGTTGTGGTGAATGTGACATTGAGAAAGGAGATAATAGGACAGGGAAAAGAACAAAGAAGAAGCTTTCGAGCAGAAGAATTGGTGGCGTTTTTGGCGTTTAGTGTCTGGCGGGAGCAGTCAATGTGAAACGGAGGAACCGGTCCCTGGGTCATTTTACGGTTGGGATCGCACTGCTTTCGATGCCGTGATGGCGGGATTAGAGGGGCTGAGGACGGTTCGAGGTTTGTTGAAAATTTGTGGAGAGCCGGCGATATTCAGATGGTTGAGTGTCCTGTCTCGTGGAGCGATGAAACATATTTGGGCATATTCATTTCATTTAGGAAGTTTTGAGTGGTGGAACATGAGAGGCCTATCAATTACAGGAGCTGTTTGTTTGGCAATGAAAGACTTCTGAGCATTGAAGCGAGAGGGAGAAACACCGCAACGAACAAGATTGACTGGATGAGAGTGAGTGAGAGGCGCACAGAGGGGCCTAGGTCCCGGTCGTCTAGGTAGACCAACGTCCGCCGGAGCGGTCGTGGGCCAATGAAGCATCCGGGTGGAGTGGCGTCGCGTCCGGGCTACAGGCGGGAGATTTGCAATGGTACGGTACCTACCTACCTACCTACCTACCTACCTACCTACCTACCTACCTACCGCTTCTTGGAGCTGCGTGCGTGTGTGTCTTGACCCTGCAGGTTGCAGGTTTGAATGTATGCTGTCTGTCTGTCACCTGGACTTGTTTGCTGCAGTGCAGTTCGCACTCTCTTAGGGCCTGGCCTGTTGGTGCAGTGTGACTGGTGAATTGTTTGACAGCGGCATGCAGTGTGCAGTCCAGTCTGCAGCGCGTAGGCAGGCAAGTTAGGTAGCTTCTCTCCTGCAGGTCCGTAGATGCCAAGAACAGGGCATTATGTTCAAGGGGCGGGCGGGCTGTCAATGAAGCGATGGCGTCGTCTGAAGCTGAGACCTCACTCACTCGCTCGCTCACCCTTTCTGAGGTATCTGTCTCTCTCTCGCTCTTCCGCCCCCACGGACCCTATCATCCTGCCCTCCTGCAGTGGGCAGCCGTCTTGCCCTGTGTCTCGACTGTCAACAGGACCGCGAACGTTGCAGCAGGAACCACGGCAGGACTCGAGATCATTGGCTGCGGAGGAAATGTGGGAGGAGAGGTAAAATCCTGATGCAGCGGTACCCAGAACCCGCACTCCTTCCCCTTTCGTCTCCGGACGGTAGTTTCCATGTTTTTTGTTCCTGGTGATCTCGGCCATCGATGTTTAGTGTTGCAGACGAAGGGCACATGTGGATATTGGATTGCACCCTTAGCACCGATCTAATAAGCCTGTGGTGTTGCTTTTGTTGGCGCCCCCCCTCCTCCCCTCGAGTCTGAGAGCCCTTGAGGAATTTTGTTTCTTTTTTGTCCTGTTTCTTCTTGTTCTGAAGAAGTGTTCTCTTTTCGGGGACAACTTGCCTTCTTTCGTTATCTTCTTTGGTGGTGTTGCTCGTTTTCCGACATCACGAACCTTTGGGCTCTTGTAAGTCGCAGCCAGCCTGTGCTTGTCCACCGTCCATCCACGAAACACCCACGCGAACCTCCTGTGACGTATTACACGGTTCAAAAAAGACACGACGTCCCGATATAGAGCCAGCCTCAGAATATCGGTCATATTTCTTCAAAGCATATCATCACACCGAGGGTTGGCAAGGTTATTATACCTTGTGTGATCCATACGCCGGACGGCCCCCAACCGTCGCCGAACGCGAACACGACCTCATATCTATATCCCACGAAGACGACAGTAACGGATTAGTCGATGCGGCATCAAGCTTTCCTCGACATTTCCGGAATCGACAGACAAGCGCGCGTGTCAGGCCAGGGTCTTCCCGTCGAGTCAACTATCACAACCCTCCGAACCGAGAATCCGCGCCCAACCGGCGTCCGTCACGAGCCTTCAGTTGAGAGGGAAAAGAACACGCGACAAGTTGCGACGAAACGGACCTCGTAAGACGAATCTCGACAGATTCATGCACGCGCGTGTGGAGTCCTTTGTCTACTCACAAGAGGGAAAGAAGAATACGGAAGGCATCGGGGGCCGCTAGAACACACGTGCGAAGGGCGATAAGCATATCCCGTCTTCCAACCAACCAACCCAACCCCGCCCAGGGAGATCCCCCTCGGGAGAAGATCCGAAACATCAGACAGAACAACTTGTAACCGCGTTTCTCAAGCAAAAAAGAGGCGCGCCCAAACAGCAGAGCAGACAAAGCTGGTACGGGCAGGGCCCCCCGAAGGCGTGTCAGAGGCGAAGAAGGGACGAGCGGACGGCGGGCTGTCATTTGATTTTGAAGTGTGCCGTGGCCCGAGGGTAGGTGTTTCCCGTGTGTCTGAGGGTCTTTTCTGGTTTCTTTGATCTGATGTTTGCTCTGTGAGGGATAGGGAAGGTATTTATTTCGGCCTGCGCCGGTGCTTTCGGGTCTGTTTGCTTTGAGTATTTCTTTCGAAGACGACTCGGGGAGGGTTGGTCGACATCCCGTCACGACAACGATCCAACGCAACACAACGCAACGCAAGGAGTCGCATTCATCAAAGCCACGCCACATCCCCTTCGTTATCGGCCTCGGAAAGGCAAATCAGCGAGAAAAGAGACAGAGACAGAGAGTCAGTTGGCTAATTACCGGGACGGTGATATCGGGCAGGGAAATTAAGAGGTGGTTTTAGCGAGACGGAGCAGGCAAATCATCTGCCTGATCGACGGGTCGCTTGTCGAGGGTTCCGGGTGCTTGTTGCTGTTCAGGCACTAGAGAGTACCTGAGAGGTTGGCAATGTGGGACCGTTATCCGGCGAGGCCAGCAACGGTCGGGGTTGGCGGTGGTGTTGGCGCCACGGGACAGGGGTCCAGGGGCGCGCGGTCAGGTCACAGTGGAGGGGCGGCGGCGACGGGGGCGGGGCAGGGTGCTATAACGGGCCTGCAATTAGTGGAAGGAGCTGCGATGGGGCCTGGGACGAGTTCGGGTTCGACACCTTCCATGAGCAGCCGCCGCAACACGGGGACCACCAGCAGCAGCAGCCATGGATACGGACCAGGGAGTGGAAGACCCGGCTCGTCTTCTCAAAAGAAGTTGACGCCGCCGCCGCAGTTGCACGAGAGGGTTCTGCTCAAAGGACAGCACTACCGCCAGTCCCGGCTGCAACCTCAGCTTCAGCCTCAATCACTGTCTGGTGATCGTGTAGCATCATCGTCACTGCCTTCGTCTCGAGAGGCACAAGCACAAGCACACGCACACGCTGCGCCACACCACGACAGCAACCTGCAGCAGCACCTCAATAATCAACGCCATCAACCGCAACAGACGCAGCATCTCCGGGTGCATCTGCGAGGGGGACAGGAAGGACAAGGCGGCGTCGGCACCGAAAGAGGAGGCGCCGGAGGAAATAGAGGAGCACCTCGAGGAGCTCCGCCGAGGAACTTTCCCTACAACAACTCGAACCGCGAACCGGCCCTTGGTGGCTTCAACTCGTCGACGAACCAGCAAAAGTTCTGGCCCGAAGACCTGCGCAACCCCCGAGGCGGACTAGGTATCGACCACAACCTGCCATCGCCGCCGACTCCCAAGTTCGAGGTGAAGCGTGGATTTGGACAGAGGACCGATACCCCATCTGGAGAGTGAGTGCTCTTTTTTTTTTCCTGTTTTGTGCCGCGTATCGTGATGTTGGAGGAGAAGGCAAGGGCCGTGGTGCTTTAGGAGAAAACGAAGAGAAGACGAGACGCGACGACGAAGAACACCCGAAATGCAAAAAGAAGAAGCTGCAATGCCAACCACATCGACCAGGTCGCTCCTTCTCGATTGCAAAGAAGAGGTCCTCCCCACCTTCCACGTCTTCGCCCAAGCTCAAGCTCAAGCTCCAAACCCGGAAGCATTCACCAGACAGCATCAGAGTATCGGCCGCTGCAGCTTCCGACGCGCGACTTGTCCAATCTCCAACGCGAAAACGACGGCGACGACGAGAATGGCGACCGCAACCTCGTCGTCGCGTCTCCTTCTCGCCCATCGCGACTTCTCCCGCAATCTCGACACCATTTCCTCTTCCTTCTCCTGCGGCAGCTTCTCCTCTCTACAAGCAGCACTGGCTAACGTTCCTCGCTCCCGCAGCAATCTCGACGAACTGCTTCCTCCCCCGAGTCTCGCTCGCATCGAAAACGACGGCAGCGACCCCTCCGGCTCCTGGCGGCCTGCTTCCTCCATCTACTCGCTCAACCGCGACTCCTACGCCTCCCCCGTCACGCCCAACTTCGCAAACGTGGCTGCCCGTAATACCTATTCCTCCGCCGTCGCGGACATTTCTCCCCCGAGCTCTCCTGACTTGGACGCTCGTGGTGACGCGTGAGTCTAATCTTCGTCCGACACAATCCTTGACTCTAGCTTTTTTGTTTCTCCCCCACGTGGGTTTTGGATAGTGAATCAGCGCCAGCCCGGGACTAACCATGTGCCTCTGCTTCAGAACATTCAACCAGCACCGGAGTGTCTCTCCCATAGAAGACTCGTCCAACATGTCGCAACTCGCTCTCGAAGACCAGCATACGGGCCAGCAGCCCACGCCCCCAAAGAGCAACATCCCCATGATGCGTCGCGAGCGCAGAAAGAACCAGGACGCCGCAGCCCACACCCTGCGAGAGACCAAATCCCAGCAACGCCTGCGGATCCAGCGCGAGACCAAGTGGGATGACATGACGGGCGAACCCACGTACCTCGACACGGGCCGTGCGGGCCAGGTCAGACCACAGGAGTACGCCCAGGGACTCACCCATCCGACGCCCTTTGGCAAGTCACCCGCCGCCATGAGGGCCATGCAGAATGCCCCCCAGGCACAGCAAACCTTCACCGATCGCCTGCGCAGGCTGCGGCCCGTCGGCGCAGGGAACCCAAAGGACCATCCAAAGGACCAGCAGCAGCACCAGCAGCCAGACGAACGTCCATCTGCCACTGCAACTGCGCCCGTGTCCATCGACGAGCGTCCGCCCTGGCGCGGCGCTCATCAAAGCGGACGAACTGCAATCGTCAACCCAGTTCGCGACACGGAGCCCAAGGAGCCTCTCAGCATCCCGCGCAGGAGCAGCAGGCGCATCGCCGTTGGGCCTCGGCTGCCCATCGCCGGCGTCTCTTCACCACTCTCCCCTGTCAGCCCCTCCGGATCTGAAACGTCGCCGCGGTCGAGGACGCCCACCGTCAGAACTGTGCTCAACGCCCCCCGCCAGCTTACTGCAGGCACCAACGCGCCCTCCCCCTCGGCCACTCGAACCCCTCCGCCCGCTCAGTCCTCCTATCCCAGCCCGCCCAACTCGGCCAGTGCTGGCGTCCAGTCCCCCGTACTTGCGACGCCCGAAGCCGCTAGCAGTCCGCCTGTCACGACCCGACAGCCTGCACCCCTGCCGGGCCTGCCCGCTGCCCCTAATGCACATCTCGGCCAAGACAAGGCCATTCGACGGAAGCCTCCTCCTGCCAACTCGCAAGCGCTTCACGCACCGCAGCCGTCATACTCCTCGAGCGTCTACTCTGAGGCCACCACCGTCCCGCCCGTCAGCACCCACGAGCGATCGCCGCCTCGCGCACCGAGATCACCCGGTGAAGCCCTCAAGGCCAACGAGCCTCGGGACCAGCCCCCGTCGCGGTTCAGCGTCACCACCTATGCCACTTGCGCGGCGGACCAAACCCCTCGTCAGTCGACAGATACCGCGCCTCCGCCGGTCCCCGCGCTGCCTTCGCCCCAGCAGCAGAACGGTGTCATGAACCGCAAGCGTCCGGCTGTTCTTGGATCCACGAGCAACGCCATCAACGCGGACAAGCCTTTCGTTATTTCCATGTCCTCGCCTTACATGTCCAGCGCCTTCCCCGATAACGACCTGCCCGCTCCTGCACGATCAGAACTCCCCAGCCAGAAGCAGCCGATACCCCGCACTAGTAACGCAAGTATGTACAGCACGTCCAGTCGACCCGACTCGGTTTGGTCCACGAGCAAGGCCCTTCCGCCGCCGCCGACCGAGACCTCCATGGTCAACGATCGTGTAGGCTACCTCAACGCCCGTCTCGAGTCACTTGGCAATCGCCGCATCAACATCAACCAAGCCATCAAGCAGATGACGGAGCTCATGCCGACCGACAGCATCCTGGCCAGCGAAGCCGTGCTACGCAAGCGCGAGGCGGAGAAGCGCAAGGTCGAGGCCCTCAAGGTTGAGCTGGCAGAGGTCCAGCGCGAGGAGTACGAAATAGGCCTCAAGCTTCATCGCGCCTACAAGAGGATGGATCGTAATGCGGAGTACGAGCCGACGACGCTCTGGGTGAGGAGGGTTACTGGCTGATCCTGGCCCGTCAGGGTGCGCTGCGATTTGGGCAGTCCTGCTGTCATCATAATGGCCGTTCGGATGGGGAGAGGGACTCGTTGCGGTTCGGGTTGCGAAAGCAGACGCGGAAGCGTTTCAGAGAAGTTTGCGCCGGCGACAGCTGGTTATTTGGTTTGAGCACGGAGTTTACGGACCCCTACCCTGAGCCTTTTACTCTGGGCAGGTTGAGATGAGTCAAGGTTGAGATGAGTCAAGGTTGGTATGAGTTGGGTTTTTGCGCGAACCCCTTTTTCTGAGGGCGTGTGCTTTTTTTGCTTGTTTCTGTGTTTGATACCTAACTTTTCTTTGTTCCACGTCTTTTGCCTTGCTACCGACAAGACTCACACTTGTAGAAACAGAAATTCTAGAAGAATTTTATTTTCCAGTGGGTTATTGGTTCTTTTCAGTGAGGCTTTCCTTACCCGATTTTTATAATGGCCCGATGTTTTGAAACGGTGACATGTCCCGGGTAGCGTGTTCCGCATGAAGCTTGCCGAGGAGAAAGGGGAGAAAAACATTGGGGCTCAAAGAGGTTAGGATGCTATTTTAGTGCTAAGCTGTGTGGCCGCGTGGGGTTTGGGGGAAGTGAGGCTGGGATGAACTACGGAGATGGGCAGGCTTTGGGGAATTGCAGACGGCTAATAACGATGAAAGTATGGTTAACTTTTGAGGCTGCATTTAGAGTTGTATTTGGCTGACGGTCATGCGAAAGAAGGACTGAGGGGAAGCGACTTCTAGACCCGGAGATTGCGCAGCTTCTTCTGGGGGATCCAACGTCAGGCGGCGAGGTTGTTGGCAATAGTGACATGTTGATTGTCCTCTGTGGGGGGGTTACTTTATAGAGAAGATGGAGTTGATTACGGGGTCGAGTTGTGTACCTATGGATGAACACCGGTGAGGTAAACTGGAGATGGATGGGAATTGATTTTCTGGATACAGATGGTCCAATATCATGGACTTCATTTCGAGGGAAATGCGATTTGGGACGGCCAATGCATTCAAGGGGCACTTTTTATGCACCAGGTAAATCCGCACTCTGGGAACTGGTCTTGTTTAGGTACACGCATAGAAGCAACGCGGTGATGACGCCGTTGAAGACGGTTTAGAGTCCCATTTCTGACGTCTCTCGAACTACTATCCGCGGGAGTCCTCCGGATGCCGAACGCTGGCCGAGGCAGGCCGTCATCGAGATGGGCGCCGGCACCGTCTCAGGCAAGGCAACAGGACTCAAAGACAGTAGGAACGGTGAACCTGGCGAATGGGAAATACTCTTGCGTGAACGTATTACAGACCATGGGGTAGGCCGCATTCCCGTTCCTTCACCCTGCAGATCCTTGAGATGTCGTTTTGATCGCCTTGAAAACGTAGATCTCCCAGCACAGCACAGCCTTCGGGCGAACCCGTGGTAATGGAGGGGAAGCGGCGTTCATAGCGGCGTCAGAATGGAAAAACAAATCCTCAGCATCCACGCATTTTTCTTTCTGTTTTCCATTTCCTCTTCGCCTTCAGTGACGTGAAAGCGTGTCCGACATGACTGAGTCGCGCCTACGGCGACGGCATCTCAGAGCTTCGTACGACGGCTCAACGAGGCTTTACAGAGTGGTCGATTTAGCTGGGCCTATTGGCTGTTAAAGTGTGATGTAGGCAACCTCAGCTGGTCGTGGGCCTGCGAGTATGGTGTGGCTGGATAAGTGGGGGAGATTATTTGCGGCAAAAGAAACATACAAGTATCACGCTGTCTCCAGGTGACTCCAGGACAAAATGATCCCTCAGCATGCCTCAAAATCTTAGCAAGTGATCTTTTGAGAGGACGTCAGAAGAGAGCCCCGTGCTTCATGCGGAGTATTTCACAGTTCATTTGCAGTCGACGGGATGTCTCTGACGAAATCGACGAAAGCTTAGACTTTTTAGGCTATGTGTGGCTTTCGAGGTCTGGGTCAGAGAGACGTCGTACGGCTCTGGGTGTTGACTCGACCCTCTTAGGTTAAGTAAAGTTGAGGCTCGGGCAGGAGATGCTGCACATTCAATCTCTTGGGGCAAATCTTGCTGCCTGAGCCAAAACAAATCTTGAACGCACAAAGTTCACGCCTACAAAAGCCAGTACAGGAAGAAGCGAGCTGCGAACGCTCAAGCTTCTAGCGGGGACATGGTGACCTAGGAAGCTGGTTAAGTTGCTGGGCGTAATGGCTTGGATTCCGACATGATGGCCATAAGAGCTGGCGTGATATTGTCAGGCCGTAATTCATTTGATATTATAAAGCAAAAGGGGGATCCATTTGACACACTGTTCCGTTATAGAGAGACACGAACTTCGGGAGAAAGTTTGAGTTGTTGTTAGCCGTCAAGGTCAGCCCGCCGTACTTTTCATCAGATTCCAAGTGGTTCTGGAAACGCCACGGAACTTAGACCCAACGGCTTTATAAGGGTTGCTTGCACTTGGTTGAGTTTAAAAGTCTAACGCTTGCTTTGCTGTCAACATTGACTGTGTCGACAAATGATTTCCGAATATTTTACGGCCATTTCAGAGTCAGGATGGATCAGCTTCACAATATCCGTACAAAATCGGTCATTGGCCATCTGACAAAAGCCATGGCGGCTACCCAACTCTCCGACACAGAACCCGCAGGCCTTCTGACGAAGGTCATGGCAGATACTCAACTCTGCAACACAGAGCCCACATGCCTCATGAGCCTCCCTCCCGAGATGCTCAACGAGATCGCGGACCACCTGGAGCTGCATGATCGGTACATCTTCTCCGAAACCTGCAGACGCGCTCGGCGGCTCTTCGGGATGGACAAGGCCGCCTGGAGCCGCGTCTTTCACTCGCCAGACTTGCTCGATAAACCTCAGATCGAATCCTTCCTCGCCGGCGTCGCCTTCGTGCGGCCGCACCACTGGCTCTGCATAAGCTGCGGCCGGCTGCACCGCGTGGCCGGAGATCCGCCGCCGCGCCCGAGGACCCGGCGCTGCGACAGGCCTATGCCGCTCTACCCGCGCCGGCCGGGGCTGGGGCTGAAGATTTCGCACGTCGAGAGCGCGCTGAAGATGGCGCGGATGCTGCAGGCTGGGGCGGCGGGCGCGGACGAGGTGCGGGCACGCCTGGGCAACCTGTTGACGGGCGTCGAGGAGAAGCCTATGGTGGACAGTACGAAGGAGCTGCAGTACCGCGCGGTCAGAATGGAGTCGACGCCCAAGATCGTGTCGGGGATGTTCATTCTGCACACCAGGATGGAGTTCATAGGGCCTCGGGGTCGGGGGGCGGTGAAGTTGGCACACTTTAAACCCTTCCGGCTCTGCGAGCACCTGTGCAGTGTAAGCAACGGCGGGAATGACTTGGCCACTGGCCTCAAGAACGCGTTCGGGAGGAAGCGCACTGAGAAGACGGGCAGCTGCGGCCGCTGCGGGATCGATTATGCGATCATTGCGAACCACGGGGGCTTTGTGGTTCAGTCGTGGCAGAATCTGGGACGCTATGATTGTCCGGACGATGCGGTCCCCAAATCTTTTTTTGAGTTTCCACTGTACATAGCTGTGAACGACCGGATTTGGTACTCTCCGATGCAGGGCGTCGGGCTCATGGCAGGCGAGCGGGAATATATTCACGTGTCTGGTGACATACGGAACGCATATACGAGAGGGTAGGGAGAATCATCGAGAGGTTCGTGCTGTGCGCTAGGAAGACCCTAAGTGTTGAGGGAGAGATACTCCGCAGTGTAACTGACTGTGTATCAAGGCCCGCAGAACCTACGAACAATTTTCGCCTTGCCTTCATCCGGATAGTAGTCTTGCTTGCTGGACTGCGTTGTTGTTCCTAGTGATGAGGTCTTGTTTCTTGCTGTCGTAGCAAGGCCTCAGATAACTACACATCGCCTAATTTTGAAAACACAGTAGCATCTATGAGAGGATACAAATCTGTAAGATGAGGTCTGAATTAGGTTGCCGCTTGAAAGGATATTTTGATCACGGAGCGATCCCGATGCAGACGTTCATGAACTGAGCTACGAGGGAGTCATGGACATGACCTGTCGGCAAATCGCTAGACGTATGCCGAGCTTATGAGATCAATGTTGGGAGACCGTTCCATCGGACTTCCTTTCAATTTAGTTGATCTCTCATCATTAATTTGCCCCTTAATTGACGTGCGTGGTCTCGTAACTAAACTTCAAAGTCTCTGACTACATGGAGGTTATGACCACTCATAAGTAGACATGCGAAAATTCCAGACAACCATTGGCAACCGTATACGGAGCAAAAGAATCTACGGCAAATGCTTCCCAAACCTTTCGTACAGATATTGCGCTTCACGTTCGCTGCAACCCATGAACTGCAAAGCTCTACTTGATCCCTCCAGTAATGAGGGCGCCACATCAAATAGTGGGAAAGAAGAAATTAGTTTTCTGCCCCGTAAAGTCATAAGAACATCTTTCAACATGCCCACCGAGTAGCCTTGCCCTAGAAATATCATGCATGGGAAAACCCATGGCAGGTTGTGTTCCTCAAACGCAGGCCGCAAGGTCTGCCGGAAAAAGTCGCTGCAGGAGGAGAATGCAGGATCTGACCAGGGCATAATGCCCGCTATCTGCCTCTGGGATAAAGTAGAACAGAAGTCATCCAAAGTGGAATTCAAACTTGAACCAGGTGAATCTATATCCCCATCGGTCATGTCTCTTAACACATGGTCGGCAATTTCGAGCAGCATAGTCTGTATTCTGAACCGACCAGGATCAGGTGATTGTCGCCCGTCTTTCCCTTGTGGCTGACGCAGAAGTTCTACGGTGCCAACAATCTCGTGAAGTGACCACAAAGTCTCACAGTGATTAAAGGGTGAGCGCCTGGTGCCTTCCAAGGTGTCGTGCATATAATTGTCGAGTTCACGAAGGCGTTTGAGACACTGCTCGACATCTGAGGGTTGTCCGTGCCCATCCGAATGCAACGAAAAGCATGCTGTGACCGTCTTCCGTATATAAGTGGTGACCATA